CTAGGGAGCTGTGTGAAGCCATGTTATGGTTTATCTCTCTACTCACATCCAGCAGCCCTTCCTCTCCTGAAATTTTCAATCTCCTCTGTCTCTGCGCAGTGCAAAAAACATAGTCATATGAATGCAGAAGATGAGCCATCCTTCTACTACCATTTCTGTCAACGTGCTTGTTCTTAATTCTTACCCTGCCACAATCGGCAAGGCCAAAGATATTTTTGTTTTCTGCAAGGTGGTCAACTATCTGATGAACCCACTGGGTGTCGATCTTCCTGGGGTTTTGTTGGAGCCATGAGCCGTAATTCCTGTTCACAAGAAGCAGGTGAGAATTTTGCTCAGGATTTCGTTTCAGTTCCATTCATATACCCCTTTACTTGTCCCGACTTACCCCTTTCATAATCTGCTCCCATCACTGCTGGTCTGGCAATGTTGTGCTATGGAAGTAGCTCGAGTGCACTGCCTGGTTGTTGATCTGTTCGCCGAGCTTGGGAGTTGGACAGCCAAGGTTGAGTGCACTGCATTGACGATGTCACCCCGATTGGTGATGAAACGCTCGGCGAACAGACCAACAACCAAACTGTTGATCTCCTTTATGTATCCTGGTCCACATGTGTTAACCCGTCTTTGTAGAACATTTCACGCCTATTCTCTATCGTGATTTGTAAATCTCTTTCAGGCCAGAGCGACTACCGTCCTACTTCAGTCGTAACCATTTATCCAAAGTTCTGAGCTGCATTAAAAAAAAACAGCCCCTCTTCAGCGGCCACCACTACTGAGTTTGGTACCATCGATCTACCGTTGACCTTTTGGTGCGCGTTCCACAGGTCTGTTCATTTTTCCTAGACTCCTTCGATGAAGCTGAGCTGGTTCGCCTGGTGTTCCGGGAGCTATATAGTGAGTAGGGCAGCAAGGATTCCTCGAAAAATTACTCACGTGCTACCTTCACGTTCTTGATAGACCGGATTGTAGATTTTTTGTGGAGTTAGTCCCCACAAGTTCGCTTACGCTATGTTGTTTGTCAGATCCATAGTGTCAAAACTGAAGTTCCACGAAGTTTTTTCGCATCTCACACTCTCGATCAGCCATTCATAGCTGAACGTCCTTCCCCAGTCGCATACGAATATACGGGATTATACTATTCTCTACTGATCCAGTTCTTATCACTTAAATATTCAAAGTTCTTCGTTCATGCAACTCATCCCATCACTTCTAGTCGCCCCGCCCTGCTAAAAATACCCCAGCGCAGCACAAAGGTCTACTGCCCTTCGTCTTCCCCTGGCACACTCTCGCAGTCTCTCATTTTCCAGCTTCCTGCAATGATCTTTTATTCGAAGTTCTAGTTAACGTTTACCGGTCAAGTTCCAACTGTTCGTGATGTGTACGTGTGATTACTTGTTCTTTCATCTGATTTAAATATCTCCATGCCTTTCCCTAATAGCTCTACAAGTTTGTTCCGACTATGATCTCTCCCTCCGAATGCAATTTACCGTGTGGGCTTGCGGTTGTTTTAAGCCTGCTTGTGGTGTGTGCACGTGCCAGATATTTGACAGTACTGCTCACACCGTCATCAAGGTGCTCAAGTGCAACTTGGTACATCATCGTATCTTCATCCCTACCGCATAACTCATTAGGAACCGGTACCATCAAGGTAAACGAGTGTTATGCAACCGTGGAAACAACGGGACCTTGGCAACCACCAAGTCATCGCACGCTCCGTTTCATACCCTGTTGTCATAATTATTATTGTTAGTATGTATACTAAGACTTCTGGGTTGGTGTTCATATCGGAAGTTGAGGAGCTATTTCGATGTCTGGCGGGACTCTTATACGACCAGCTAGTTTGAACCGAGATACTGGGTGCACGACCCTTCCTTTATTCCCGTTATACGTGCGCTTTCATCTCACTGGTGACTCACGATAGAACTGGGGCGCTGATTAGGGTATACTAAAAGTCTTGTCGAATTCGCCAAACCTGAGCAGCCGCCATGGCAATCAGTAGTGATTTCAGAACGTACTATGTCAATAGGAGTTTTTGTTCAGTTGATACAGTCGAACTGTTCCAAGTGAACAAGGAATAGTTGAGGGACAACGTTACTTCCGCCAAGTACCAGGCACAGAAAGAGCAGGCAAAGAGGTACAGAGATCAGCGAAATACGCTCAGTTGCAAACAAATTTGGTTTTCTAGAAACTCACCTGGAACCCAGATGGATCTCTCGTTTGTGATGTTTTTAAGCACCAGGCATCCTCATTTTTCAGTTGATACGATATTCGGGATATCGAGATACATGTATAGACATGTATTCAGAAGGTTGCTTAAAAACCGCATGAACGAGCGATTCAGCTGGGTTCCAGGTGAGTCTCTCGAAAAAACAAATTTCTTTGCAAATGAGTGTATTTCTCTAATTTCGTGCAATTTGATGTCAAGTGGAAACATAAGGTTGAAGTTCGGGGGCTGCACTGCCCGATGAGTCTAAAGAAGGACAAAACCGGTCTTGGGTTGTCGGAGAATTTTCAGCAACCTTGTGAGTAGCATATTATGTCTATACAGTTAGAGGCATTGTTGAGAAGGAAAACAGTCTAGTAGTTCTAGTTGTCACTTCTGAATAAAAATTTCCTTATGCAAAGCATAATATACCCCCGTATCATAGGATGTTGAATTTTTGAGCACAGATTAGATTGGAAAACGTGAAAGAGCCTTTTTGAGATATTCTAATCGGAACATAGTCATTAAATGCTAATCTGGTTGCGGTCAAATATAACAGTTATCGTATAAAATCGTTCATCCACGGTCGAAGTCATCATGAGACTTGAATGTTGTTATTCGGGTATGTCCACCCATAAAAATACGCAATCTGTTCAGGAAAGAAGGCGACACACCGAGCCACGTAGGTCTTTCCCCTGAGAAGTCACTACTAATGATGCTAGTCTTCGCTAGATCACGTGATGTGCTTCTGTGCTGCCGATTGGATCTTCGCTACATCCAGTCAACTGATGAGCCACGAGCAGATGAAGGCTACTGGTTCGGTAATATGGAGACCCGAATCCTTTTTGTCGACGCACAAGGTGCGCATCACTATGCAGCGATTTGGATGACCAGAATGGTCATCATACCAGTCAACGTGTCACTACACTGACGTGGGTCTCAGGGTCATTGCATATCTGGGGCATCCACTCGAGGTGAGACTGAAAATTCATCACAATGTTACTCAATACACACTTTATATAAGTAAGCTGTTCAGAATAAAGGCAAACTCGGTGTCTCTTGGGGGTCTCCTCAAAGGGTTATCACTCATGATTCAGTAATCATCGTCCATAAAGTTAGTCCCTTAAGGCACTGTTTTGGTTATTTCATGTACAGTTAAAGTTTGACCAACAGAAAGGAGCCCGACACTTGACCGCTCACAAGGCGTCGTCAGACGAACACTCGAACTCCATCTGGATCCAGTGAGCTGCGCACTTCTGGCTATTTTCGGCCAGGATGAAAGAAGTTCCATTTTATTTATGGCTCCACGGTTCATGCTGACATAGTCTTAAGTAGTGAATACCAAAGCGAAACACAGTTAGAGGCATTGTTGAGAAGGAAAACAGTCTAGTAGTTCTAGTTGTCACTTCTGAATAAAAATTTCCTTATGCAAAGCATAATATACCCCCGTATCATAGGATGTTGAATTTTTGAGCACAGATTAGATTGGAAAACGTGAAAGAGCCTTTTTGAGATATTCTAATCGGAACATAGTCATTAAATGCTAATCTGGTTGCGGTCAAATATAACAGTTATCGTATAAAATCGTTCATCCACGGTCGAAGTCATCATGAGACTTGAATGTTGTTATTCGGGTATGTCCACCCATAAAAATACGCAATCTGTTCAGGAAAGAAGGCGACACACCGAGCCACGTAGGTCTTTCCCCTGAGAAGTCACTACTAATGATGCTAGTCTTCGCTAGATCACGTGATGTGCTTCTGTGCTGCCGATTGGATCTTCGCTACATCCAGTCAACTGATGAGCCACGAGCAGATGAAGGCTACTGGTTCGGTAATATGGAGACCCGAATCCTTTTTGTCGACGCACAAGGTGCGCATCACTATGCAGCGATTTGGATGACCAGAATGGTCATCATACCAGTCAACGTGTCACTACACTGACGTGGGTCTCAGGGTCATTGCATATCTGGGGCATCCACTCGAGGTGAGACTGAAAATTCATCACAATGTTACTCAATACACACTTTATATAAGTAAGCTGTTCAGAATAAAGGCAAACTCGGTGTCTCTTGGGGGTCTCCTCAAAGGGTTATCACTCATGATTCAGTAATCATCGTCCATAAAGTTAGTCCCTTAAGGCACTGTTTTGGTTATTTCATGTACAGTTAAAGTTTGACCAACAGAAAGGAGCCCGACACTTGACCGCTCACAAGGCGTCGTCAGACGAACACTCGAACTCCATCTGGATCCAGTGAGCTGCGCACTTCTGGCTATTTTCGGCCAGGATGAAAGAAGTTCCATTTTATTTATGGCTCCACGGTTCATGCTGACATAGTCTTAAGTAGTGAATACCAAAGCGAAACACAAAGCCAGTCGCGCCATGTATTCACCACTAACTTCTGTCTGGTTATCTACGCTTACAATAACTCAACGAGTCAGCGATAATAAACAAGCGAAATTCTATTCCAAGTAGTCAAACCATGATGATCAACTGACTCGATTTCACAGAATGTGCAAGAACCTCGTTCGTATTACAGAGTTCCGAATGTTCCAGAACGCCGGAGCGTCACATTTTAGGCGCTTAAACAGGATATCGACGAAAAAAACATTGGGGAATTCCGGAGCATGGCGTTGTTGGAAACAGAGCACTTGTCGCTGTCCACACTATGATTACTTTGCAGTGAACAACTATCGGAAAGATGCTGGTTATATCTCCAGCAGAGTACATACTGAGCTATGGAGAGTGAACAGGGTAAGACAACTGGATGAAAGTACTACTTGTCATATTAATCACTTACCTGCCAGATTTTGTGATTACCATTTCTGTAGTCATACTATGAAATCTGCGCCATAGGTCGGCTTCGACCAGCTCCACGCGAGGTACATCTTTTGTGCGGGAGGATGGATCTGCAATTTGTGAAAGGCCTCCATTCATGGAATGCTCAAAGTCAAAATTGCTTGTTGGACTGTGAAAATGCGATGAGGAGCTTGGAGGACTACATGCATCGTTGCGACTAGATGTTTTGCTCCAGTTTAGTTCTGAGGAGGGCGACCACAACGCATTCTTGTGCCGATTAGTCGAGCGCGTGACCAACTCTTTTGCAACCATATGTTTTTGATAATGTTGGGGGCTATAGGTTGACGTGGTTGGAAGGTGAGTTGTATCGCTCTGATATCCGGTGAAATCCGAATTACAGGGAAAACTAGTGGGTAGGTGAGGAGGGTGTTCTTTTCGCCGCTTTGTCCAACAGCCGACGGGCTGTGATGCATCGTACGACGATTTTGAACAAGACTGTGTTGAATGTATTAGCCTCGCAAGGTCACTGGAAGAAACGCTTTCTGTAGGGGATGTGGGTTGCATTGAATCGTGCTTTGGAAGATACCTTGAGGCGGCCAAGCTTATTGCATTAACCACAGCAGTAAGCTGGGACGAGTCGAGTTTGTTTAAAAATGATGCCGCTGCAGCTTGCGTTGTCGAAGTCCAATCTGTGAGACTTGATTTTTCTGGTGAAGTGCAAGGCAGTAGAGCATTCTTCAATCTATCACTTGTCACTTTATCTCCATTCATTAACCATGACAAACTTAGGGCATCATGAAATGAGGGCACACCAGAGGAAACATTGTGGTCATCACACGGTGAATTCATTATGCTTCACACATCCGAAGCATTGACGATATTCTCGTTGCGCTACCCCACACCTCACCAAGTGTTCACAGATTTGGTACGTGCAGGTCGGCAGACATTTACCTGCTTTCCACCTGCAGGACTGTGAAAGCGTAAATCACAGTCTGGAGGGGGACCAATCGAATCTAGGCATGAAAAATTAACACTGACATCAGGATTACGGACTAGTGCGGGGGCGGTCATGTGCATTGAACCAATCAGTGGCTGAGGAAGCAGTCATGGAAGTGGATGTCTGCCATTGGCTAATGGGAACATGTCGCCTTGTCCTCCTCCGTCAAATCTAAACAGCATACCAGCATCAAGGAGTGGACACGTCAGGGTGGAGCTACCGATAGGGGGATTGTTGTGTCAGCACCAAGCGATTAGGCAAAGCAGCACGCACGTCGTTCTGATCCAGGACGAATGATGTCGCCCAAGTTGTTCCAGCTAGTGATGAGGTTCCGCATTTTTTGAGATGCGCAAAATGCGGGCAGATTTCAGCATCCATGCCTGACGAAGAAAAATAAAGCACACAAGAAGCTAACTGCGGCATAAAACTAATACGATTGGGGCCATCGTCGCAACCACATGTCTAACCAATGACTAGTTTAGTAAATCATGACAGCTAAATCCTGCATAGTTCCGGTAAGAAGATCACCAACTGTTACTTTTCCTGAACGAACTATTTGGTCGAACCCCAACGAGGCTGGCAAAACTTTTGAAGGTCAAAGGACAAGCTTAACAGGTGGATCGACAATCAATCCCATCACTGAGTATATCCCTTACTGCTGCTAGGATGGGAACACGAATCTGGCACTTTAAAATGATGGCACCCTGGTAATACGCACCCACAAAAAGCAAGTCCCTTCAAAATCATGTGAATGCATATCAAAAACGCGCTTTGCGCACAGACAATTCCCAGAATCTTCAGAAGTATTCGCTCTTAGGATTTCCTGTACTGTATCCAAAAAAAGGAACTGGCCGACGCAAACGTATTGTGATTGTAGAACTTGGTGCCTAACTACTTCGGTAAATGGCTAGATTAATCACAAACACCACAGTGTATAAATGTAGTTGTCCATATTTTTATCTTTATTCCAAGAAGCTAAAATGAATCGCCTACATCTACTAGTGTCTCAGTTTAAACTGCACCATTGATTATCATTGTTCATTTCCTGAAATGATTTCTGCCTTAGTGTTAAATATTCTCATGCACAGTACACAAATCATACAGCATCTGTATGGAACGAGACCAAGTTGGCTGCCGAATTCCATTCCAGTTTGACTGGTCATTTTTAATATTCATGGTATAGAACAGGTGTAGTGCAGATAACACCTTTGGGGAATGTGTGGGGATCCTATATTTATGGAGCTGTTTTGGCCATGCTAACTGCCCTCAGCCCAGATCGAACCGGATCTACAGACCACACGTTGTGAAAACCAAGGCTGTAACTTTTTTATTGGAGCATTTTTTACCGGTACAGTACAGTAGCCGGAGTATATGCTTGTATGTTATTCATAAACGGACACTGCATCTTGCCTCCGAAAATCAGATCAGACGTTCAAGGTTAAAATGAGGTCAAGCTCATACTCAGCTAAACTTAGACTAGTTGGTTTTATTATTCCGTCGGGTGTCAAACAGCCACAGAAATTAACTTTTATCATGAGCGTTTAAAACTGGTGGTAGACATCGACTTTTTTCTAGTCACTCCTATCAGAAAAAAACCTGTGTTCAATTTCCTTTGTCCCAACAACAAGAACTATCTGAAACACATTTGGAACGAGCAAACTCCATTTAATCCTGCCAACAGCTGTTGGTGAATGTTTTTTGTCCCTGCTTAATCGTAGGTCCTCGTGATCATCTGGAAAATTTTTCTTACATAGATTACCTATATAACTGATTGAAGACAGTTTAGGACACGCACGAACCTCATTAGGTGAGCTGAACAAAATCACTTACTCATCTTTCTGTTCAAACAGGTCAGATGATGTAAGGTGCGAAAATCGCAAAAAAAACGAGCTTTGCTCACTAGGTTAATTGACGCTTTTATGATTACAGATATTATGGACGAAAACTTCATGTTTTATTTTACATGCATCTTCGATTTTGAGCGTTTGTTTAAATCCACGAAAGTCCATGCACTTCCCGGCTTCAGGCTGGCAGATGCTTTGAACACGGGTATCAACTCCGTTCTCATTTACACAGACTATCTGGGAAGCCGTTATGATTGAAGGCAGACTACCGTTGATCTAAAAAACCAAGATATATCAAGATCAAATCATATATCATCCATGAAACTGGTGTAAACATATGTACATAAGGTGTACGCGCTCAGAGAGGTTCAGACTCAGCGGCACTTTGAAGGAAATTTCAAAAACTAAATACTGCTGGCCAGATAGAATATTAATTGTTTGAACAATTAAGAGCATATCGCACAAGTAGTTAACCATTAATTAACACTTTGGCTTAGTAAAAATAAGACTTCCCACAACGCAGACGCTGCCCTGTATAACTGTCACATCAGGTTCCACGGTATGCTTTTTTATCGGTCTTCCGAATTTGACCTTTGAATTGTTTGCACCTATACCAAAGCAAATGGCATCCAGGTCGTTCTATTGAAAAGCTCAAGGGATGATCTACATTTTTTTTAGAAGGTTATGCTTGAAATGAACGTTCACGGGAAGTAGCATGGTTAAAACACTTTAGAAACTATCGCAACGGTGAGTGGAGTCACCATCGCTAATCAGTAAAGGATGGATATCAAGAAAAACCGTATGAGAAAATGTTACTGCCACTAGCTGGTAAGGAAGACCCATGGCACAAATAATTGTCGTGATTATGGATAAATTCCTCATGACGTTTCGGACGCAACGGCGAATTTACTGACCGATAGGTCCGTGGTTCCGATCTCTGCCTCTCGACTTCCCCTGTCTAGGCTTGGGCAGCCTGGCAGTATCCCAGCCCTCGTGCACCCTTCATGTGGCATGGCACTCAGGCATCGAGAGGGTGCTACAATCGTTTTAAAAGCTGTTGGCACCGACTGAAAAGTCATCGTTTCCGGAAAATTTCCTTACACCCACAGAGACAATCTTACAGATAGAATTCCGTGACCGACACCCAAAAACTGATTTAGCTTGACAGTAGGAAACTATCTACTGAGTGGTTTTCCTCCCGCCCTAAATCTTACCAATCTCATAACCTAGTCACTTGGCCTAGCCAAGTTTCGTGTCAAAAACAAAAGGTTTCCCAGTTATAAATTTACGCTTTGTTCCCGAAACTTTTCCGGAAACTGTGCTCTGGTTGGTTTGTATAGTTGGGCATTGCAATCAACAAATTCGGTCATGACCAGCTCCTTGGGGTCCACTTCACAGGAGGCTACCCACAGTAGTTCATTTGCGAATAAATTAACGCTTTTTGTCACTGATTCGGGTACCCGACAAAGAGGGTAGCTTCAGTCTGGATGTTCCGGGTCACGCAGAAACCTCCTAAAGGTGATGGTTCTCATCATGCTTCTTTTAACACTCAGACCCTTTTAGGTGTGAATGGAGAGTTCAAACCTGCCAGAAGGTATGATAAACAGGATCCAGTGCCTTGTACGATCTGGGATGATCTCGGTTACATAAGACTTATATTCCGAAGGAATTTTTCGAAATAACCATTGGATCGAGGAAGGAATTTCCATTTGAGAACATACTCAATCCTGTTCATACTAAAGTGAATGAGAATGGAACATCCTGAGTACCATCCCTGATAAAAGTATCAAGACATTGCGGACAGATATTCTAGGTTAGAGGAACGTTTTATACCAATGAAGATAACTACGTGTTGCAGCCGTGGCTTTGATCTTCTGCGGCAACCACTTCATTCTGAGCCGAGCAATCGGCAATAGTATCTGGATAATTAACGGGTACCCTATCGAGTCAGGTAAGCTGTCGCCACGTAGGAGTCTTTACTACCCTGTAGTTAACAGATTTTTTCAGCGGTAGAAGTGAGTTCACAGAAATTTTGAAACCAGCTTGTGTGTAAAGTAGGATATAAATGCAAACCTGGTTAAGGTGGGAGACTAGAAAACAAAATGATACTAACAAAATTAAAGTAGACTATTTAAATGTGTGCCCATCGAGGTGCAGTTTACTGCTGTCCCCAACGCATCATTTGATCGACTGTGTGATATGACTCAAGCCCCTGCTTAAATGGGAACATGAGATAGTTGGCGTTTCAGATGTTTTTTGTTCCTGTGCTAATCAGACTGGCTAGATTAGCCGATTTCGAACGGTTCAGTATTGTGTTAGGTTCCCAAGGATTCAATGGACTTCTCATTGTTAAAATTATCCGAATTATGCTTGATAATGAATGTGAAAATTGTCTTAGACGCTCGATAAGGCAGTGACATTCAACGAAGACTAAAGGCGACTGGTGCCTTTTCCAGTTAAACAGATTATCTGACAATCTGGTTTTCACTTCAAAAGCAACCAACACATGCATGAGGTGAGGTCTCATCCCTTTCCCATACGTGAAAAGACATCGGTCTTGTGAAAAGAAAAAGATTCCCCCATGTTGGATGCGTACGTGGCGCCCTCTGTCATACAAGGTAGCCACATACTGTACGGTAGTTTGTGAGCTTTCATGGTGATTTTTGATATCACCTCGCAATGTGTATGCACGCACGTGCTAAAAGCATTCGGAACACACTTCAGACAGTACTCCAATTCTGACAGCTGCCTCATTCACATTGCTACTTTTTTCGTGTTTGACTGAACCGTCGCGGGTCTCAGAAAACAAGGTCGGGTATGGTGAACGGTTTAGCATACAAAGCGCCCCGTCTCCGGCCGGAACGAGTGAGGCGCTAAGTGTTTATAATTTATTCATCCGGTGGTAGTGTTAGTACTAACCGGACTATCAAGATAGACATCATGACCCGCTCGCTCACTGATTAGCCCTAACGGGTTGCCCTTACGGGTGCGCGCGTAGAAGTGGGTGTGAGTATTGTCAGCTGGGCTGGCGCCACTTGGCTTCTTTCCCACCCCAC